GTGTGTGTGTGTGTGTGTGTGTGTGTGTGTGTGTGTGTGTGTGTGTGTGTTTCTGGTGACATTTGGGAGCAATTTTAAGACAAAAATCCTACATTTGGGGACAACTGGTGCATTTGGGGACAAAAGTCGTGTCCCCATTTGGTTTAAAAGCCGTTGGTGGGTTGGGGGTTGGGTTTAGGACCATGTGAATTGAGTTTAGGTTAGTTTTAGGGTCAGGTAGGTACCTGTGAGGTTAGTTTTAGGGTCAGGTATGTACCTGTGAGGTTAGCCTTAGGGTTTGTGGTCAGGGTTAGGATGTAGAAATGCAATGGGAGTCAATGGAATGTCCCCAATTGGATAGCTGTGCAAACTTGTGTGTGTGTGTGTGCGCGCGCGCGTGTGTGTACATGTTTTTCGTGACTTATGAGGACTATTTTAAGACAAACCACCTACATGTGGGGACCAATGGAACATATGGGGACCTAAGCCCATTTTGTTTAAATACCACTGGTGAGTTGGGGGTTTGGTTTAGGACTAAGGTGTGAATTGAGTTTAGGTTAGTTTTAGGGTCAGGTAGGTACCTTTGAGTATGGGGTAAGGGTTATGCTGTAGAAATTATTTGAAGTCAATGCAATGTCCTCATAAACATAGCTATACTAGACCGTGCACATGTGTCTGATGTCTTACCTGGCTCTTCTAAGCTCTCTACAAACTCTGGCAGCTTACATATGAGCCGTGATGGCTCCTGGTAGTCTGGGCCAAGTTTGAAGATGGGCTCATAGGCAGCATTAGATTCCTGATCATTGGTTGTACCCGACCGGTTGTGGTTATATACAAATGTATCACTCCGTATTGATAAACTAGCAGTTAGTTCATCATCTAAGCTCCGGCGAGAGGCCTACAATAAAGAATTAGCGGAGTGAAAAACCAAATTAAAAGCAGAAGATTGATTGCAATATAAAGCTGATAGAAAAATTAAGACAAGCTCACCTTTTCCATAATCTTCTGCCACACCTGTCTCCACAGAATGATGACAATGATGGCCACAAGGATGAAGATGATTGCTACCAAGCATCCAATCAGAATTCGAGTGTTGCTATCATCCACCTTATGTGTGGGGTCGTCTTCTGGGAAGGAACGAGGAGAGACGCATTTTGAAGATGAAGAGATTGTTCACTTTACATTTATGAATTTATTTTTAACCATTTCAGTGGCTTTCTTCACTGGAAAATATGTGATATATAGATTAATGTGCATTATGTAAACATTGTTAGTTTTATTCTGCACTTCATTAAAGTGATAGCTCCGATATTTTGAAATAGGTTTATGAACAATGAATATAGGTAGGTAGGTAGGTAGGTAGGTAGGTAGGTAGGTAGGTAGGTAGGTAGGTAGGTAGGTAGGTAGGCAGGCAGGCAGGCAGGCAG